ACCAATAATGGAAAGAAAATTAAAGCACATAGTGGGGCACATGGGTATCGAACCCAGGCTATTTGGGTGAGAAAAGGTAAGATCAACCACAAAGCCAAAATATTTGTTTGGTTTAAATTAGATGAAATATATATCTTATATCTTAGGCCAAGAAAACTAAAGCTGATTGTTTGGAAAGAAAATTACAAACAGGCGGCATGAGAGTTAAACCAACGTCCCAACAATCACTTGGAAGTGCTTGAACCACTGGGCTAAACCCTTCACTGAGTATAATTTTACATTATTTTAAATATTATATTTCTAACTGAACATAAGAAAACAAATTGAAAAGAAAAGAATCAATAGAAAGGATTCGAAACTAAAACTTCAGCTAGACTTGGAAGAAATCCTACCACTGCATCAACACTCATATTTGAATTATATTTTACAATATATTATACTTAGCTTGAATTATAACGAAAACAATAAAATGAATTAAACCTTGATTTTTTAGAGAATATATAAACACCAAAATTATTTAAGCAAATTTAATTAATTTTTTATAGATATATATTTTATATATTTTTTAAATGTATTTAATATAAGATTTAAAATAATAATAAATTTAATATTTTAAAATTAAATTTGATAAGTAGAAAAATAAGTTTAATATTTTTAAATGATTTTAAAATTTTAAAATTAATTTCACTAAATCTTGAATTTAGATTTTAAACTATATTTATTTTTAACAAAATTAATGATCCTTCTTTATTAAAAACAGCAAAATAATCTTTACATATATATATATATATATATACCATTTCTTTATATATAATCATAAAATTAAATTAAATTTATTAATTATATTAAAAAAGATAATTTAATAATTATATACATAATATTATAAATTTTAATCAAATATAAGGCTTGACTTGATGGCTAAAATACTTGCACTCCCTCTTAAATTTTTAGGTTTGAAACCCTCTACAAACATGTTAATTTCATTTTTTTTCTCTGCTATTAGTTATAACATGTTATATATAAAATGTTGTAAATTATTACTAAATTGGGGGCTTAGTCTAGTTGTTTAGGCTATTTTAGTGAAGTAGTGAGACGTTGGATCAAACTCTCACAATTGCAAGTTTAATTGCTTTGCAATATTTTATATCAAATAAGTTGGTTACGTTGGGTGGTCACAGTATAGTCTACCCTAAAATAAAATGAATATATTTTAAAAATTAGAGGTTGTCTCAACAACCTAATGTGATAATTTAAGGTCCATTCGAGCTAAGTTTAATTTTTAAGTTATGGAAGTGTAACCCAAGACAAGCTTTTGTTTTTCCTTCCCTTTTTCTTGGAGCTTTCTCTAACTTTCCTCACTAGACAATGATCAAACACATGAGTTACTAACGTGATTTAGAGGTTAAGAAGAGTTTAAGAACGATTTCTAAGGTTTGAACTCCCAGAAAATTGTTCAAAACACCTAAGTTCCTTAAACCCTACAAAACTCATATTTCGTTACTATGGTAAAATGGAGAGATTTAGGGTTCCATTTGAAACTCTGGAGACGGAGGTTAAGAATATTCATTTAGTGTGCGTTTGGTTCACGGAATGTAAGATTACCAGTGAGAATGTAAGATTACCAGGGAATATGATTACTGTGATTGTTGTATTTTGGGTTTGGTTGGTTTAGCAGGAATGTAAGATTACCGTGTTTGGTTAAAGGAATAAAAGATTATTGGAATGTATTTTGACCAAATTGTCCTTATTATATATTTGTTTTTTAACAAGTTAGAAAATATTTATATATTTTCTTAAAAAAATTTAAATTCATAAAATTTATATAATTTTTTTTACAAAATTTAAAATATAAAAAGGTTTAATAAAAGGGTAAAAATTTATTTTAACCCCTGAACTTCATATAAAATTTTAATTATAGACTTTTTTGTAAATCTAAAATAGTTTAAGGATAAATTTGAAATTTAACCTTCGTAGAATTTTTATTATTCAATGACAGAAGAAGAATATTTTTGAAAAAAAAATTAAGGGAATTTTAGTCAAAAACGTCGGTAATCCAATAATACCTAAGAAAAGGGAGGTAATGACATTCCCGGTAATATATCCCAAAAAATCAACTATTGGTAACCTTACATTACCGAGAATGGGATTCTCGGGCTAACCAAATAGGGGAATGTGGATTTCATTCTCATGGGAATCCCACATTCCCCATCCAAACACCCACTTAGGATTTTAAACTAAGGTTGCAAGGCTATCAAGTTATCACATTTGCTCTATCTAGGTTGAGAGGAAAATGAGAGGGAAGAAGACAAAGTGAATGGGGATAAAAAAAAAAGGGAGAACAGAACGTGAGATCATCAAGTCATTAAGGGATTTCAGCTTTTGAAATTCTTAATGTTGTAATTACTCTTTTAGTCCTTCCTCTTTCATTCTAATATTAAAAATGTCTCTTTTATATCAAATGGGCCCAAACTAAGCCTAAACTCAAACCCAATTGGACTAAACTTCATTGCAAGGCTAATGAGTTCATCTAAAGCACTCTCATAGTAGCCCAAACTCCTAGCCCAAAATTTAGGGCGGTCTTGGCAATAGCTTTTCATGCATCGTTTGGAGGGTGATTTTGGCATATTCCTTAAACAACTACCTTCTCGTTGCGAGTAAGATGGGAATATTCTTTTGGTTGTATGTAAAAGGAGTTTTTGTTCATCAAAATTTGTCCATTTAAGTAGTCTTTAATCTGTTGTGGTAGAGTAAACAATCCAATGGAAGTTGTCACAAATTACATTTAATGGGAAGTAAAGTTCGCTACCCATTACTGTAATTAATGAATGTTTGATTTTCAATTTGTCCTCTGAGCAACACAACTTGGACGTATTGTGTTTCCTTTTATATTATATAAAATTAAAATATGATTTGTTTTGTATAAATCTTGAGCATAAACGGATGCTCATGAGGATTGTTTATCAAGCCCTCGAAAGCCATACTTTTGTTATTTTGCTGCCATGGTGCTCTATAATCTCATGTTCTTCTTTTGCCTAGTTCATTGAGTTTTGTAAAAGCTTTGCTTCTTGATGATGATGGTGATAAAACTCGAAGACAAAAAAGAGCAGCTGAGATTTTGGGTTACCAAAAGGAAGTGAAAAGTGTATGGTTAGAAAAGGTAAAAAGGTTATTTGACCATAAGGTAAAAAGGTTATTTGACCATGTCGTATCGTGTTTTTTGACCAACGAATAAGTTTTCGATGAAAACCTTAAATTACGATTAGAGGGGACCATGTCCCCCGCCACACCTAAAAATATAAAATATATATATATATAATATAATAAATTTTTAAGTTTGATCTGTCAAAAAATATTTATTAATAATTATAAACAGTAAATCACTTAAATATTATATTATTTATTAAGAAGAGTTCATATTCATATTTTGTATTAATTTTTATTTCTAATTGAATTAAAATTTATTTTCATTTGTTATTTTTTATTTCAAGGAACAACAAAATTATGTGTTTTGTCATGCTTGGTTTCATCTTCTTTGAGTTATTTATCTTCTTTAAGTTGAGATTTCAATCAAGTTATCAAGTATTTCATTTCAGTGGAAAGTAGGTTTTTAAATATTTTTCAATTCGATACGTGTTTATAGTTTTATTTCAAATATCTATATTTATTACGCAAGTTTATAAATTTTCATATCTAAAAATAGAAGTTAGACTATATATATATATATATATATATATATGAAAATACTTTAAAATGTCTCCAAATAACTTGATTATATAAATATATTTTTAAAAATTATTGATTAAATTTGTATATTATGTAATTTTATTATAGAATTATATTGATATACTATTAAAAAAAACTAGATAACATTTGATTTTTTAAATTTTCATGTGAAGATGTTTTGATATATAAATATATAATTTATATCTATAAAAGTATTAAAATATTTAGGTTAATATATACATTTTTTTAAAATGACCCCTCATAAGATAATGTTAAGTTTCACCATTGATTTGACCATATATATTTGTATCGAAGGGTATTTTAATCAAAGAACAATTGCAAAGCTTAAGGTAACTGATATAACGTGCCATGTCAGTATTTCGTTACCCCAGTAATTGTTGCTAACGGAGAGTGACCATTTTGTTATAAATTAATACCGTTAGTGATCAATATGTTACTTTTGAAAATATATTACTTTTGAAACTTCAGCGGTGAAAACAAAAATTTACTTAAACATTAGTGACCATTTCTGTAATTTGCCCTAATTTTATTTGAATCAATTCATTGATGACATATCAGATATCTGAACATCTTATTAGTCACGCATACTAATTTATTATTGATCTAATAAAACTAAAGAAATAAATCGGATGATATCAATCAGTGTACTAATTGATTTGATGATCTCGCTCTGAGTCACCCAGCTAACAGCATTCAGCCAAGTTTGGTTGTATCTTCATTGGATTGACTGATAAACATGGACTGGCATATCTTGGATGCTTCAGTTTGTTCAAGCAAGAGTGAAGTACTGGTATGTTTATCTTCGATGACTTCATATTATTTTGTCATAGAATTTGTACGAAAATATTATAGATTAACAACTAACAGTTTAGTTGCTGTAATTAAGTGAAACACTTAACGATTAGTCATATTGCCATATCTTGCTTTAAACTAAAGCTTCCATACATTCAAAGGTGCATGCGCTATGTTCTATGATATTTTCTGTCTAGTATAGATCCTGATCTTAAGGATAGCAAAGCCATGAAAGTGAAAGCCAGAGCAGAAGATATTATCCTTATTAAGGTCAGAATCTTGCCTGAAAATGCTGCTAAATATGTCCTTCAATGTACTTATGGTTGTGGATCTTGAGAATGTTCGGGGGAATATCAAACAATACAATATGATATTTGATAAACACGAGTATCAAACACGGATGGTATAAGATGGAAAGCATATACTAATTTAAATATAAGATAGATTTACAATTATTTAATATATGTTCTTCTCCACACACATATTTGATAAGATCCTAGTTTCTGCAGCAATTAAATACTGAATTCATACATTCTGCTCGGGTGCAGCCACATGCTTCTCAATCTTCTGCTGCAATTCATCTTTCCTTGCACCCACAACCTTGTCAACTATGCTGCCTCCTTTCAGGAAGATGAAGGTAAGCATTGCTTCAATCGCCCAATCCTGAGCCACACTCTGCAAACACCATGAACAATTTTAACACAATCAAAAGTTAAAATCACATGCTTTCTATTAAAGAAATTGCTTATGAGATCAGACCCTACCTTCAATTCAGCAACATCCACCTTCAAGAATAGGACTTGGGGCAGCTTCTTAGCAAGATCAGCCAGGACTGGTGCTATAAAACGGCATGACCCGCACCATGAAGCCGTTAAATCCACCACCACCAACCCACAAAATCACCAACAGAATGGATTAAACCAACATCCAAAAAGTCTTCAGTTTTGGTTTCATTTTACAATAATTAACCTCATTTCAAACGAACAAAAGGTACAAAGCAGATAAGTAAACAAAACCCATTTTTCCAAACAATCTATAAAAGATTCACGCTAATATAAAGAAAGAACAGATTTTTTTTTACTTGTTCTTTTGGTTTATACAAAGAAAGAAGGGATTTTTACCAGTGTCCGGGTGGTGTTGGCCGACGCGAGCTGCTGTTCCCACGTCTCAACAGTATGTAGAATTGGATTCGATGTAATAAGCAAAATGTAAATAGAAATGAGTGACAGTTCCCACGTGCTTGTTCTGACGGCAATACGTGTGAGAAACGCGGATTGATTATGATGGCTCATGCTAAAGCCCAAACTTTGCCTATTTGATGTTGGATTGGAATCAGGCTTCATTAAAGCCCAATCAGTTTTATTAAATCGTATTAATTATACCGTATATATTTATTAAATCGTTTTTCTTATAAACAGCTTTGGATCAACTCAAGTGGTAAAATTATGTAAATAATATTTTTAATTATTTAATAAAATAATAAGTAAAAAACTATTTAAGAAAAACAATATTTATTCTAACATACGAATAAAGGTATGTCACGCCAGTCACATTTTTCAGATATCTAATTTGATCACTCGAGAATATCCTGATTTTAAAAAATAACAAATTATAAATTGGCTCATATTCTAAACAAAAGCTTAAAATCTATTTTTTAAAAAATTTAAAATTATACTTAAAGTTTAGTTTTTGTTCTATTTTAGTACTCCGCTGATAAAAACTTTTTGTTTTTTTTCATTTTAATAACTCGTTCAAAATTTAACATTAAGTTAAAAAAATTGAAAGTTTAGATATTAAAACGGATCGAAATTGATAGTTTATGTATAAATGCATTAAGTTTTTAACGATGGATACTAAAATGAGACAAATCTAAACTTTAGATGTGGTTTTGAAAATTTTAAAAATTAAATATTAAAACGGACCAAAGTTAATAATTCAGGTACTGAATACGTAGTTTATCCTAGGTTTTTCTACTTCAACCTCAATTTGAAAATTGAAAGTTTTCATCTTATTCTTGTATATTTTTTTAAGTTCGTTACTTCCTTAGTCTTGAGGAATACTAGGGGCAATTTACTAAGAGGGTTCTCGATGATTGCAACACTCAAAACCATAATGTTGAAAAAGGTTCTATTTGAATAGAATGGTTATAGACAACATGATTTCGATCGACTGAAGGCAATTTTGAATAAGGCATCCGTGTTTAACACAATCATAGTTTAAAAAAGATTATATATTATTTGATGATCCATTATCAACAATTTCAGATGTATTCTTATACAATAGAGGGAAGTGGTCATTTAAGCATTTAGGTAGCTCAATACGTATTGAACATAACTACCCTATCTATGATTTGAAGCTTCTTGCAGTGATCTTCGCCTTTAAGATTCAGACGCATTGTCTCTTTAGAGGCAAGTGCTACAGATACATCGATTATAAGTCTCAAATATTTGCTTATTCGAAAATAGTTAAATTTGAGACAATATAGACAGGATGAGTAGCTTAAAGACGATGAATGTGTCATTGATTATCATCCGGATAAAGTCAATACAGTGCCTCTTTGACGTTAGACACCTTCCTTTCCTTGACCTACTTCAGTAGCGTTGGATGATCAACGATTTTTTTGGATCAACTCTTGCTGTTGTTGGATCGCATGGGGAATTTAGTACTGTGCATGCAAGTTTCGCAACTATACGTTCCATAATTTGTGTACATGCAAGATGCTCTAGTCATGGGAGAATGCAAATTGTTGGTACGACTGTTTGGAGTACTAATGTACCATTGATCGGTTTAGCCATAGACATCATGGTAGGTCTTAGAGTATGATGGGTCGTACACAACCGACTGTTGTTGGTTGGAAAAACTAGATAACATGTGAGAGTTTTAGGAAGAAGATGAAAAATGAGTTGGCTATTTTTCCCTTGAGAGTTGATTTCAATCAATTCTTTTTATTATAAAAAGAAAATTAACACTCACTACACTAATTGTTGATGAAACCTCATTAATAAATGAGGTTGTAGCTAGAGCAAACTATTAGGGGTACCATACTTTTTTTTAATAAAAAGGGAGCACCATACTTGGGTATGAATGATATTTCCATTATTTATATACATTAACATGGATTAAGCCACAGGCTAAAGATAAAGTCTCTGTATTTATATATGTAGAATATTCAACAGCGAATCAAACACTGGCATAAAGCATGGGTACTAAAAGACAGAAACCAAGTATTAATTTTGCTCTTGGTATAATTCATGTTTATTTTATAATTTATAGTTGACTCCAACAACAATATATAATGTAAATTAGGGTTCAGATAGAAACAAGGAGAAAAGCATAGTAGCTAAGTACAAATACTATCACAAATTATTTAATACCTTCGGCTGGAGAGAAGGGTATTTTATAAGAAAATAAAAATATTTCAAATGATTCAAGCAGCCTGATACAAGGCTACCTTACTCTGCAAATCATCTTTATTTGCACCCACAACCCGGTCAATTTCTTGGCCTTCCTTGAGGAAGATAAAACTTGGCATTGCCTCAATTTTCCATTCCTCAGCCACAGTCTGCAAAAAAAACGCAGACAAGAATTGAAAATTTTAACATAAAAGCCACATGCTTTTCACTAAGAAATTGCTTAAGAGCAGAGATCCTACCGTCAATTCATCAACATCCACCTTCAAGAATGTTACATGAGGCAGCTTCTTAGCAAGTTCAGCCAGGATTGGTGCGATAAAACGGCATGGCCCGCACCACGAAGCTGTGAAGTCCACCACCACCTACCCACAAATCCAACAACATTATGAACTTCGCCAAGCAATCACTAATTTTTCAATAATTAACCTCAATTCAAGCTAGCAATATATCAAAGCAGATAAGTAAACAAAACCCATATTTCCAAACAATCCAAAAAAAATCACTAATTTTCAATAATTAACCTCAATTCAAGCTAGCAATAGATCAAAGCAGATAAGTAAATAAAACCCATATTTCCAAACAATCCAAAAAAAAAAATCATGCTAATATAAAGAATGAATAGCTTTTCTTTTTACCAGTTCTTTTGGTTAATACAAAGAAAGAAGAGATTTTTACCAGTCTGTTGGAGGTTTTAGACGACTCGAAGTGCTGATTCCAAACCTCAACAGAGGGGATGGGGATTACTTGTCCCTCTTCCGCCATTATTTTCGATTCCTTTCTATCTCAAGTCTGACAAAAATCTGCAAAGCCGATTCCTTTTCCTTTTTTCCTTTGCCTATCCGATGGTTTATTTGGTGCACAAATCCATTTTATGTAGTGGAACTTGGAGAATTATTACGAAAATACCACCAGTCACGTGACGCATTATCTTATGTCAAATACACAATTTTTTGTGGTCAGCTTTAGTTCCGCGTTAACGTTTCCATGTAGAGAACCCTAGTGGTTTTTAAAAGATTTCTTGCTAATAAATCATGTACATTTATTTAATTTGTTGAAAGAATTTTAAACGATGAAATTTTCTTATCTCGAATTGAGTAATTTTGTTGAAAATTAGATGTCTTGTTATGGGTTGCGTATGAAATTTTGCTTGTTTCTCAATTGCTGCTGATATAATATTGAATGAATTGTTTATATTAGCATGGTTAATAAGTTGCAAAAAAGATGGTATTTCGTTCTTCATCAATCAATTGCATTGATTAGGCATGAAGAGACGATTGTCCACACCTTTCTTCTAATGTTTTTTCCTTGAAAACACAGAAGAACGCCAACGTTTTGTTAGTTTTTGAGATTCGGACGAGGTAGACTGGTAGGATCGTACGAAAGAACTCTAATTTTACTCATTTAGTAATAAATTTCTAAAAATATATTAATTTATATAAAACAATTGCATTCATTTCCATCATGAATATAATAAAATTTAATTTATAAGATCAAGTGAAAATGGTAACGAAGTCTAACCTTTGTCAAGCACTTGGAAACCCAGCGGTTGTTTACCGAATTCAATACCAATGTAATAATAATGGGGGAGGGGGAACAAAATAGAGTTCCACGCTGCGACGATCTATGTCATTCTGGGGAGTGATAATATATTCCACGAAAACGCCCGTCCGCTTCTTTAATTATCTATTTATTGTCAAACACCAAAACCCCAAAGCTTCGGTTCCTTTAACCTTCCCGATCATGGATGTTGATTCTCGTCTATACGAACAAATTGTAAGTTTTTTAATCTTTTTCTCCCATTCTGTTTTCAGTTCTAAATTTGGGTTCTTTTCTCCAAGTGTTAATATGGTTTTATGCGTTCAATATGTTGGTAATTGCATTGTTGCAGAAATTTTATTTTATTTTTTAGAAAATTCCCAAGCCTGATATACTTTCTTTGCCTATTGAATTATAAGAAATTAGGGTATTGTGCAATTTTGCTGTTAATCAGTTTGGTGTAGTTTACTGGGTTCATATGGATTTTTGTTAACTATTTGGGTTCCTTAGGGTTTCAAAATTTCAACTCTATTTAGGTCGAAACTAATTGCAATAACAATTTTGTATTGATGGATTCTGAGTTAATTGTGGGTTATACTACATATGCGTTAGCTTGCTTTTGCAAGAGCACCGATAGGAATTGAAACCTTTACTCTACGGATAGACCCTTCACTTGGAAGGTTAGTGCTACTCCACAAGTTCATGCCTTGAATATACATTTGGAAAGATAGTTTTTGTATAATTGCTGGTCTTGGTTGCAGATTGTTTCGGGGTTGTTTGGTCTGGTATTTTTGTATAATTGCTGGTCTTGGTTGCAGATTGTTTCGGGGTTGTTTGGTCTGGTGTGCATCTAAGTCTTAACCTTGTTTCATGGAATTGTTTCAGTTGTTTCCTATAGCAATAATGTATACACTTGATGTAAGGTTACGCGATCGTGTCGTAACCTATAGTTTGTGTCATAATTCACAACCTAAAATAGTTTTCTTCATTTACAGTTATATTTTGATGAATAGTCCAATTTGGTTTGTAAGATTTTTCAATCTATCATGTAGTACATATCCTTATGGAGTCTTTTTTCATCTTCTTTCAATCTATGCCATACTTATGTCCCTCCGGTAGACTTAGCTTCTTATATTTGGACTTCCATTTCCATCTGTTTTTTTACAGGCAGTCCATGAAAATGACATCCACAACATCGTTATGTCGTATCTTGTGCACAATTGCTTTAAAGAAACCTTTGAATCTTTTATTGCTTGTACTGGGATGAAGCAGCCTTCTGATCATCTTGAGGACATGGAAAATAGAAAAAGTAGGGGAATTTTTTTCTCTCGATAAATTTTATACATATGATATAGATAACCTAGGGTTATTATGCTGGAGCCCATTTATGCAGGCATGAAATCTATTAATTTTGAAAGATGCAGGTTTTCTAATGACGGGTTTCTATGTTCTGCTTATTTACTGGAAGTTTCAAAAGTGAACTAGCATGATATGTTACTCAGACTCAACTGTGTTGGATTTGTCAATGTGTCCAACACTGTTCAACTTTGCCTTAATTTTTCCATGTATTTGGAGGGTCATATTCTTATACCCATGTTTGTATATGTTCCAGACGTGTGTTGTATACTGGTATTTCAAGAAATATGATGAGTTGGATCAACGTTACTTGCATGCACGTGGGTATGTGTCTAGAAAAGCTAAAGGGCTTTGAAATATTTGACATCAAAGCTGAAATATGGCTAACAGACGGTTTTGTAGCCTAGCTTACTAAGTTCTGCAAAAACCGAGAGTTTACTTCTGCATGATTGGTGCTAATACAATTCTTTTGATATATTTCCATGGAACTACAAAAGAGGAGAAATTATCAATCTTGCCTACAGAGTTGTGTACTTACAATGATCTTACTACCGTACCACGAGTCATATCTTTTGTGTAGTAGTTTTCTGTCACCTCTCAAAAGCTAAAGGTCTCAAAATGCTGACATTTTTGTTGTAATTTTGTGCAGGAATTTATCAATTTGCTTTAGAGGGTAATGCACTTAAGGCAATTGAATTAACTGAACAGCTGGCAACAAATTTACTAGAGAAAAATAAGGACCTGTATTTTGATCTTCTAAGCCTTCATTTTGTCGAGCTTGTATGCTCTAGCAAATGGTGAGAAGAGAATAAGATATCTTTTGAATTATAAATAGCAGATATTCTATAGTTGAAAAAAAAAATCACTTCTATTACAGCACAGAAGCTCTGGAATTTGCGCAGATGAAGTTGACCCCTTTTGGGAAGGAGCAAAAATATGTTGAAAAGCTTGAAGTATGTTGAAAAGCTTGAAGTATGTTAACTTGGCAAATTTTGCACCGTTCTAATCTATGTGTTGGATATTGAAAAGACATGCTGTTACTGCAGGATTTTATGGCTTTGCTTGCATACGAGGAACCAGAGAAATCTCCGATGTTTCACCTGCTTAGTTTGGAGTACCGACAGCATGTTGCAGATAGTTTAAATCGAGCAATTCTTGGTATGATTAGTTCTTACAACTACTTTGCAACATTTACCTTTTTGAATGTTGTATAGATTCATCTTATGGCTATCTGCTGATTAATGTCACTATTATTCTGCATCATGAATTATGTCAGCTCATGCAAACCATCCAACCTACACGGCAATGGAACGGCTGGTACAACAAACAACAATAGTTAGACAATGCTTAAATCAAGAGCATGGAAAGGTAATCCGTAGCCGTTTCTGTGTAATGAATACGTGGTTTGAATGTAACATTAAACTCGATTCGATTTTGTAGGATGGGCCGCCACCGTTATCTTTGAAGGACTTTCTGAACAATGGCCCTTTGGGTACATCTAAATGTTCATGAACTTTCTGAAGTTTGCCTGATTGCCTCTTTTCATGAATGGTCTGTTAAAGCCTTGATTTTGCAATGGGGCCTTTTAAAGTTGGCCTTTTTGAACTTTTATTTTGATTTTAGTTCAATTTGTATCTGAGAAAGAAGAAAAATTACATGTTGATAATGAATATATCATATTTAGCGGTAATGTCTTTTAGCATAGCTAGATTCTTATGACATGATGACATATGAATAAGAAAAACAGCATGGCTTCAGCCATCATACATCATAATGATTTCCACCATTAACTCCATAATTTTTTCCCATGTTTTTTATCTTAAAATCAAACCATCAAATCAACATGCAAAAAGCATATGGGAGCAAAATCATCAATCACCACTTCAAAAAAGAAAAAAGCCCTCTCTGCTACTTAGAGAAAGCCATTAACTAATAAAAGATAAGAAAAATACACACGAACTTTCTGATATAATGGTAGTGTCTTGCTGTTTCCGCCATGATTAAAATAGCTAAGTGGCTTTTGGAGTTAAACGTTTTCCGTCGAGTGGTGGAGCAATGGTTGAGTGAGACTCGGTGTTCTAGTGGTGTTACCCTGCTCCGCAGTAGATTCAAGGGCCCCTTTTTCCTTTGCTGCCAACTTCCTCTCTTCGCTTTTTCCCCATAGCACTAGGTACAGTCCGACTATAATCAACACTGCTCCGATGATTCTGTGAGCAAAAACTTGTCAAAATTGATATTAATAACAGTTTAAACACGATTACAAGCAATTACCCTCCTAAATAGAACTCTTCCCCTAAAGCAATGGATGCCATGATGGCGACAACAAGAGTCTGAACAGGTTGATAAACAGCAACGAAAACAGGGCCGCCTCTGTCGATGCACCATATCTGCACGGCGAATGCAATCCCCGATGCCACCACTCCCTGCATGTTTCATGAACAAATTTACTATTATATTGTTCGTTCGATCGATCGAGAAGGGTAGAATGCACTGACCGCGTAGAGGATAGTGAAGAGTTCTCCGCCGGAGTGGAACATCCAAGCTTGAGAGTCTCTCTCGAAAACTAATGCGATGACGAGGAACTGGATGAGACCGAAGAAACATGTGTAGGATGTGACAGAGAGTCGAGCTGGGTACTTCTTCAACAAGGGTGCCTGCAACACTAGCCAAGCGGACCAGGACAGGCAATGGCCGATTAGATAGAGACAACCGAGTGTCCAGCTCTTTCCATTTGCGTCACCTAGTGAAACAAGCATCTGTGTGGGTTTGTTTAGAGGTGGAACCGGGGTGTATATAGTTGGACCTTTGTATAGTGTTATAACCGATGCTCCCGCCACACATAAGATTGTTCCAATAACCTTGGATATCCCATCTTTTCTATCTAGCCTCACTTTCTCTATCCTGATATCAACAACAATCACACACATTATTACATGTCATGTCATGTTTATACATACATACATACATACATACATACATACATACATACATACATACATACATACATACATACATACATACATACATACATACATACATACATACATACATACATACATACATACATACATACCTTAGTATGGCTGCCATGAGAAAGGTAATGGCAGGGACAGAGTTCTGGATTGCCGATGCAAAGGTTGGAGTTGTGTTGTCTAAGCCCAACAAGTAGAAACCCTGATTGGCTGTGATTCTGTCATGTTTAAAAAACAGACGATTAATTTTGCTTTGATTACACTATGGTAAGAGTTTTATTTAGCAACATGGTCTTGCATTACCCAACGAGAGCTAGGAGGAAGAACTGCAGAAGAAAATTTAGAGTAATGGTTGGTCTCTCCTTCCTGGGAAAAAAAAAGAAACATTTGAAATAACAAGTTAGGGTTTTAGTTTTTAAAGCTGTTTTTAGAAGAAACATGGGGTTTAATGAATTACTTTTCAAGAAAATAAGCAAAGGGTAAGAGCATAAGCAAAGCAATGATGTTCCTATAAACTGGGAACACAAGCTTGCTAACCCCCATATTAAGGGCAGCCCTTGAAACCACATGGAACCCTGCATAACCGAACTGCAAGGCCAGCATCGCCATGTGAAGCTGCAGCCTTTCGGGGACCGAACACAACATCCCCTTGGCACGGACTGAACAACCAGCATCCGCCATTGAAACTCAGTGATCAAGTTCACAAAATGAGAGTGGGTGATATGAATGAATGGAAATGGTGGGTATAAATATAGTTAAAATGTGGATGGTTTAGGACCCACAAAAAATGACATGTGAAAACTGTCCATAGTCCTTTGTAAGATTGTTGGTTGTCTCCCACAGTTTTTCTCACTCAGCTGACAAGACAACTTCAAACGCACTACTGCAACAACATGAACACAAAGTGATGGAAAAAGAAAAGGAGATGATTATATTTATTTAACAGCTTCTGTTTTGGCTCATATCATTAATGATTATGATCGGAGGTAATCAAGCGCAATGGTCGCACGAGGGGTGGAATTTAGAAAGGTCCCCCACCTCACTATTACTACTATGCTTTACATTTCCTTGTATTTTTCTTCATTATTTTAATACGCAGCACTAAAACATTTGCATACTTTGTGTGTGTGTGTGTGTATATATATATATATACCCCACCTGATTATCCACTGGAACATACGATTATCAACAGTTTAAGATGATTAGATGGTCTTGCTTTATACGAGATCAGGGTCCACTCGGTGTTTGAAAAATAGAGAGGGAAAACTGGCTTCTATGGTAAGTAGCTGGCCAGCAAGAGGAATCCATCTTTATAAACAAAATTTTCATAAAATAGATGTTTCTATGTACCGGATTACCTTAATCAATTCCATTAAAGGGCTTTTATCTTTGGTACTTAATGATCATCTCAACCTACTGTTAACTGATACCATATGTTCATATATGTTTTCTCACTCTATCAACTTGATTATAGAATTGTATTTATATCATGTTATATATTGACTTAAATTATAATTTAAAATTAAATTTAATTTTATTATAATTTTATTGGTTGAATATTACTTAATGATTAAGTTTATTCAATTAAGAATTCTTAATGATTCTTGGTGTCTTTAGAATTATAAAAAGTTATTATTTTGGAGAGAACATTACTTTTGTACTCTTTGTAATTTAGCTTTTATGTTAAAAGATAGTTTTATAGATATATTAGGGGAATGATTTGGGATATTCTAAGTTTTAATATAAATATCATATTTTAGGATATATAATACATTATGAATTTGTACATTTCGTGATTTCAGCGTTTATAATAAATTATTATTTTTCTTATCGATAAAGATTGACAATGTCATACCGAGTTAAATCTAATTTTTGTATGTGTTTTATTTTTGTTAATATGTATTTGGTTATTTTTCCATCGACAAATTCTTTAACATAGTTGATATATGAATATAAGATATGATCTTTTATTTTTATTTTTTTTGGAATAAATCAATTAATTTTTTATCTCAGAAAAGTAACAGCGGCTACTACAAAACAACCAAAACCAAGCCATGCCCAACCAAGGCCACATCCACACTAAAACCTCCAATCCATACAATGCAATTTGACGCGAACTATATCTTTAATATGATCAACTATAATATGAACAGAGCGAGCAGTCCACTATCATTATAATAAACCTGAAAATTTTAAAAATATTTAATAATTATAATAAACATAAGCATACCTCATAATCAAATCCACTATCATTGTAAAATTCAAGGGGGGAAAAAAAGATGGCTACCCATGGGAAACAAGAAAGGAATATGTTTAGCCTTTTTCATCTTTAAACTACGTTTGAGTCTGACAGGGAAATGCTTTAATCTTCACGTATGTGAGTCTAGGAAGTGTGAAGGATGGGAAGAAAGAAAGAAAACTGAGTCCTACTCGGCCTGCAAGAAGTGGTCGGAAATCGACCTGACCTTTCCAGTTGTGATGTTAATTGCGTTTTAAGTACTTGACAGACAGCTACAATAGATTTTGTTCGCACGAGAGAATCTTCAATGACAGACTCTGGTCGAGGTCTGAGTCCACTCGTTTGACTGAATTCCAGCCCTTTCCCTTCTCTTTTTCCAAAATATTGAAAATAGGCACATATAACTTTTGATGACAAATGGGACATACTTTTATTATTTTAAGGGTTATTTTTTTTAAAAAAAATCAATGAAAATCTTTCCCAATTATAGCTGAAAGATGGATACCCATTATTCCAAATTAATTGTGGAGATGATTTATAAAATTTCTTTTTAAATTTAAATATCATCAATATCATTAGAAAATTTAAATTTTTAAAATATTTTGATAAAAATAATTTGGTATAATCGATGGTTGGTAGTTTATTTCTTCTAATTTGGACGAAGAGTCGTAATCGAATATTGGTCAATATTTTCCTTTGTGAGAGAGTTAATGTAAAGGAAAATACAGATGATGTAGATGAAGTTACAAGAGTCCTCGAGATGCAATAATCGAAAGAGTATAGAACTCTAGGATGGTGGTCATATTATTTTCAAAGGACGTCTTCGGCATTACAACATAATATATAAATAGTTTTAAGCCTCAATACACTTTTAGGTGCATAAACTATATTTAAAATTGATTTTATGTGTTTAAAAAAAATTTGTTAAAAATAAGCGACTAATATTTTTTCCCTTACTAATTTGCGGTCCATGGGGTTCAGGGTACTAATTTGCGGGCTAAAAACCCACATCTGCTTGTTAGACCAGGTGAAAGTGGCCCCAGGTATGGATGATCCATGAGGTCCATATCTTATAGGCAATCTTGAAGATCCTCCATGTCTTGAAGAGCTAAGACATAAATATCCTCAGCAGGGCCAACCTGTAGCTCTGAACTCAAATTACCTACACCAGTAACAGGGTTTACAACACCTGAGGAACCAGTAGGAATAAAGGACTTCTCAAGGGGTACATTTAGATTAACATTCATGTCTGCCCCTTTCTCATCACCAAGCTCAGAAGGAGTGATGTCTTTTCTTCTCCAAATATGAACCTCTTTCCTCACAGGAACCTTTTGAACCACAGCACATCTATTTGCCAAATGACCAAAAGATTTACAAGAAGAGCAAAATTTTGGCAGCCAAGGTACAACCACTTTAACCCTCGCAATAGTACCATCC